TTTCAATATGAAAAGAGAATATTACAAATTAGTGAATCATATTTTACCTAATTCAATATCTTAACATTACGGAACAAATCCATAATATTATGTAAATCCGTATCCCATATTATTATATCATTAAGAATATATTATAGTTATATTATCAAATCATAAAAAGATATTAAATCTATATTGTAAAAAAAAAAATAATTCATATAATTTTATAACAATTTTACTACGACTATTTAAAATTATTTTTTTATGATATAATAAAATAATAATTAAATATTATATGGTGAACAAGAATTAGTAAAATTGTTACTTTCTCTTATATCAAGGGATAAATTTACATGCTAAAATTAAATTTTTATTAGTATAAATATTTTAGTAAGATAACATATTAATTATTTTACAAGCTAGGCCTAACATCCTCATATTTAATATTCTGGCTAAAAAAACAACGTTGGTATTCTGGCTAAAAAAACGACGTTGGTTAAAAGATGTGACAAAAAACTTATAACCCTATTGTTTTTTTAACTTTAAGATTGATTAAAAGAGGTAGAAAATAGATGTGACAAAAAACTTATAACTCTATTGTTTTTTTAGATTTAAGATTGATTAAAAGAGGTAGAAAATAGACAATAACCCTATTATTTTTTAGACTTACAAAACAGTAAAAATATCTCAGTTAACATCTTTGTCCCGTGTAAATGATAATCAACAGGGGAGACACCCAACCCTACCAAAAAATAAGGGCAGCCCCAAAGAAAAAGTCCTGAAACGGAGAGACAAAAATATTTCAGCACTGTTTGAGATAGAAATCAAAGAGAGCAAACAATCACGCTCCAGAACAAATTCTCCAGCTAAATCCAAGGGTTTGCACCCCAAATCCCCGTCATCGCGCGGCGGAGACTAAATCTCCAGCCAATCCAAGGGCATTTCCGTCATCCTCGCCGCATCTGTTGAACTTCGTCGAGAGTGGTAAGGTCACCGTTTGTAAGTCAGATTGGTTGTGCACAGAATACTTTTTTTT